AAATCAACAGTACACATATCAGAAAACACAAAATAAATAAATAAATGAATAATAAAAATAAATAAATAAATAAAAAAAACTCAAAAAATACTCAGCAACATGCACCGTTCATCTAGTTTCCTTTGTAGTGTTTCAGGAACTCAGTCAATGGTGACCAGGTTTCTTCAAATTTCACTCCCTTTCCTCTGACAATATAAGTGAGTCGCTCCAGAGCCATACATGATGCCATCTCCTTTACCCACATGTGATTTGACGGTATGTCCATTTTTTTCCAGTGTAGAGATATTAATCTCCTGGACTACAGGAGTCCAAAATCGATCAATTTTAACTGTCTGGAACTAAGAACACAGTTCTCTGGGTAAATACCTAAAACAAACATTTTAGCCTCAGTGGGAACATTCACTCCAACAATCCTTGAAAAAGTTTGCGTAACTGAGTTCCAGTATTGCTGTAATTTTGGACACTTCCATACACAGTGAAAAAGAGTACCCCTTCCAACCAAGCACTTACTGCAGTTGTCTGGGATGTTAGGTGACCAGCGATTCAGTTTGACAGGAGTTATGTAAGTTCTCATCAACCACTTGTATTGGAGGAGTTTCATTCTTGTGTTAATTGACTGCTTTTGGGCTTTTAAGCATGCGGTTTCCCAGTCCGCCACTTGTATCTCTTCTCGGAAGTCGGATTTCCACGCATCCAATCTGTCTGTGGTAGATTCCTCATCATGCTTTAATAAAGCTGCATAAAATAAAGAAATGTGGCCTCTCCGCTCCAGATTGTCTACTACAATATTCTCGAGGTATGATAGTGGTGGTCTGGATCCAATCTGTTTGTGTTTTGACATAATGAAATGTTTAATTTGTAAATACTTATAAAAGTGTTTCTTTGAGATGCTATATATTTGACATAACTGCTCAAATGTAAGAAGCCTGTCATACTTATAGAGATCTGCCAGTTTTTGTACACCTTTATTTGCCCAGATTTTGAAATCTCCGTCAGCTCTTCCTGCCTTAAAATATCCGTTCCCCCAAATAATAATAATAATAATATCCTGATGCATGCTCAATAATCCAGGTAGAAAAATCTAAAAAAGTTAAATCTGGTCCTCTGGACATTCAAAAAACAGGTGCACAGTGATTTTGAACCAGAAAGACTATCATGAGAAAGTTATGACACTCCTTAGTGACAAACACTTATGAACCCCTGAAAAGAGATCCAGGAAGTGGTTACAAGAAAAAGTTAATAGATTGCCTGAAAATTTTGGAGCAGGACAAGGCTATTGACCGTTTTCT